CTTTTTTAAAAAGTCCATGGCAGCATCTGCAACAACTTGCAGCACCTTTGTGGCAAGAGCCACCTTCCCCAACTCACTCTCTCTTGGCTATATTGTTCCTGTGCAGCTTTACTTCTTAATAACATTGTATGCTATAGTCAAACACTTGGGATAGCCTAAGAACTGATGTATTTTATGTGATGTACAGCCTGCTTCTTTCCCTGTCTCCTGGGAAGGACTGTCTTGGCATAAGGTGAATGGAAAAGCTGTGGGAGGATTTCCTGTCCTTGGTTTATTGCTGTTGTTTCTAAGACCCAGCAGCAAATCCACTGTAGTTATGACTGTGTGGCAAGCGGCACTGACTGTGATCCAGGAGAAGTCTGCTGTTGAGAACAAAGCAAAGCCCAGGTGCTAGTGAAACATGAACAGCAAAAGCTCAGCACCACAGAAAGTCTGCCATATCTGACTGAGCAAATGAGTCAATGTGCATTAGCAAGCAGTTACCAATAATCTTCTAATCAAACTCTTCAGCTGTTTTTCCAGCATGGAAACATAACAACTGCAAAAAGCCAGATCACTCAAGCCGAGAGCAGTAGGAAGCCCTCTCTCAGGTAGAACAGAAGAGTGGCAGTATACTCACTCCACCTGGAACTTCGTATGTGTGCTTAAGGAACAAATTCTCAAAGCACCAGCAGGGAGGGAAGAAAGTGCTACGCCCTTCTTCAGGAGGAAGCCACAGGACACCCCCTTCCCGCAATGGGATTTCTCATACACCCCAGCACGGCTTCCTTTTGTTGCCAATCCTATCATGAGACACAAGATCTATCCTCATTGTTGTTCACTGCCAGAAATGTATGAAGATTCAGAGTAAGAAGTGTCAAAGAGCAGCTGGATTTAACTGAAAGGTCCACGCAGTCTAGTATTTTGGATCCCACAGTGGGTTGCCAGAGGCTTGCAGGGATCATCCAACACAGAGATCTTCCCTTTCCCTTCCGAGCCAGCAGCTGAGATCTCGAAGCACAGTGCCTTTGGAGTAGGAGGCTGCATGTAGCCGATGTGGCTGATAAAATATCCCATTCTGAGCTGGAGTATTTTCTGGCTACAGAAGCCATGCACAGCAGGGTAGAAGTAACTCTGTGAATTCTGGGCTTTTTAGAAATTGCCACCATTGAATCCCAGCCCCCTTGCCTGATGGTCTCAAGCACATTTGGCAACCAAGCCCACCCGTGGAATACAACAGGACCACGCTGCTCGGGTGTCGATAGGTAGCCCCTCCCCCAGTTGAATTGTGGCCCTAGGATAGGAACTAATTAGGCATTTAGGCCATATACCTGTAAACCGCCCAGAGACCCTCGGGTAAAGGGCGGTATACAAATCTAAGATATATATAAATAAATATGGGTTACCGAAAGGCACATAACTACAGATGAGCCATGTGCAGCCCGGCAGCTGAAAACTGCCCCTGAAGTATCATCTTATTCAAACAGGATAAGAAGTACGGTAGGAAAGCTATGTGTGCATACATATATACTGGGCCTAAGTTTTCTATCCTTGTCTTCTTCCCCCCCCCTTTCTACTTCAGCACAAAATGCCCCCCCAGTGCTGCTCCTGGGGGAGGGGGACAGGGCACCCCTAAAAATAACGGGGTGAGCTGGCGGTTTGTGACGAGAAGGGAGAAATAGGCAAAAATCACATCACCATCACGGCATGTGGAAATTTCCCAAGCCAGAGTCGGTCGGATTACAGCTTCCTAAAGATTCACTGTCCCATTTCTTCACCAGCTGCATCATCATTTCCAAGTAGATACTCATGAAACATGAATCTGATCACTGATCCAAAGTATAGTGATCACTAGCATGGCTAGGCTTTGGCTCCCCCCCCCTTCCTTGCAGCAGTTCACTTTCATTTTACAGCACTCTGCTTCTGTAGCAGCATCAACCCTTGAACAACGTGTTCCCTATACCTGCTTGTGGGGCTTGAACTAGTTTTGCTTCCTAAAAGGAATGTATTAACTACATGCTGGATGGAAGAGGTACAAATACGATTCACTTAGTAGGTGTCCAAGGATACAACAGGTGGCCCATTTGACTCTGACATTCATAAGGTTTTTTAAAAATGCTGACAACTTACAACATGGTTTCCGAAAAATCTGTCAGCCTTTCCCACTCCCAAAGCAGGGAAACTTGGTGCAAGACTTAGGAAACGATAATTTTTTTAAAAAAAAAAACCACTCAACAGCCTCTAGCCCACTACAACAATGTGCCTTTACCTATTTACACCCTGCTTCCCCCTCAAAGGGGAGCTAAAGCAGCTTCCAATGTCATTCTTCCCACTTTGATTTTATTCCTCACAATCACCACCCTGTGAAGTAGGCTGGGCTGAGTGTGTGTAACTGGCCCAAGATCATGCAGTGAGCTTCCATGAGGAAGTGGGGACTCAAACCTGGTTCCTCCAAATCCTTGTTCAACACTCTTCACTGCTACACCACACGAGCCCTACCCTTCATATGTATTCCTTCAGCTCTTCTACACCCACTTTCAATGTCCTATGCAACTGTTGCAAACCATAGTTTTTTAAAAAAATGTATATAAATTAAATAATCCCAAATAAAAACAGATTCCTAGATGAAGTCCGGGGTCTGCACATATTCATTTTAACGAAGGTCACACATAAGCTAGGGGCATTTGTGCATAATGAGGAAGGGCCATGTAATTCCATGACCCAATTCTAGAGCTCTGGTTCCACACCTTGTTGTGGTTGTCGCACAGTCGAATCCGACTCTTCGCGACCCCATGGACCAGATCACGCCAGGCCTTCCGGTCTTCTGCCGTCCTCTGAAGTTTGCTCAACTTCATGTTCGTTGCATCTATGACACTGTCTAACCATCTCATCCTTTGCCGCCCCCATCTTCTTTGACCTTCAAAGCAGGTCACACCTAGCTTCAAGTAAAACCAAGGGAATGGTCAGTGCAAATTTTTGATCAGATGTTGATGTTGCTGCAATTTATAACCAGCCAGATTCCACCTTAGTCATTGGCGCTTATGCTGCTTCTCAGAGAGAGATTATACAGGATTGATGCAGAAGACCAGTTAAGGTGCTCATTCCATCTTAAGTCTGCTTCTTCAGTGGATTCAGAAAATGTCGAATCTTATGAATGAGCCAACCACTACTCACATGGTTAACTCAGCATATCTTTTCTTGTGGTCCAGTTCCCAGATTTGTTATGTCATGATCTAGGCAAATACTGCACCAGACTACTTTCACAAAACTACTCAAAAATTCAATGTGTATAGAAGGACCATTGCATAACCATCCTTGAACTACACTGAAATGTATACTCTACATGAAAAATGTATGCATGACCATGAAGCCCTATCAGCCTAACCACAGCAAGCTGACTTCACAACTCTAGGTTGAAATATCTTGAACTTTTCCTTGCACTGAAATGTTTAAGACATGCTACAGACCCCCAATGGGAACTGAGACATTAATTTGTAAAGCTTTGCACTGGTGTAGCCTCATTCCGTTCTGCCCAGTATGACCATACTTGTCCTTTTCAAAATTAATATCCCCTCTTCTCCATTCTGTTGGGAATCAATGACACAGAACAGGAACCAAAAGTGCATCCCAATTCCACAGTCCGTTTCTACTCCGAGAAATCAACTCCCACTGTGACAGCAGCCAACTCGGGTTCCTATAGCATATCCTTTCCTAACACCAGTCTTTAAAAGAAATGGGTAAAAGTTCTCAGAACCCAAGAATCTTGATTTTTTTTTTTTAATTCCCAGCTCTGGACAAAATAGCAGGATCCTGTGCAGTAGGGGCAACATGAAACCAGTATGTAAGCCCCGAGGCACTTTTGTGCAACATTAATCTCTACTTTTAATTTCAAACAATAAGTTTCTAGCCCTCATGGTTTCAATGTTTTAAAGAATATAACTTGTGTGCTCCTGTCTAGCTTGGCATTGCTCCAGACATGCTTACGGAGTCTCTCTGCTCACCTATCTGTAACACTCTATGGGTGCAAATGAACAGGGCGCAGTGCTCCATACCCACTGATCCTAACACAGCATTCGCCAGCATGCTCATATTCTAAACGTAGTCTACTGATCATGGCTGCTGAACAAGGAACCTTGGCAGTTGCAGTTCCGAGAGTTCTCAATAATCTTGTAAAATTCCAGCTCCTACATTATTTTAAAGGGTGCTTCAAGATGGTATATACAGAAGCTTTGTAAGCAACAAGATTCTGTGCAGTGCATTCCCAGCATAACCAAGAACGCTCACAGTGTGCAAGGAGACTAGTTTACTATGGACATTCCCCCCTCCCTGCCATCTACTCTTGATGTTAACTACATGGGCTCGACCTGTTTTAAACAAGAGAAGATCCATTTCTAGTGTTATAGGAGTAGCAAAACCAAGAACCATATATTTTTTCTGAAAGAAAGAACAGGGCTACCAATCAGTTCCTATTCCTCCTTTAGTCCTCAAAGTTTTTACACTGCCAATGTGATCTGTAACAGCTCCCATAAGAATACAATATGAGCCGAGCCACACACACACAATGTTAACTGCGCTGCTATGAAACAGCCCTCTTCCAAACATTGCATTTCAGACTTTCCTGTGACTATGCAATAGCTACTGCACAGGCGATGTGCATTTAAAAAAGCAAACAAACTCAATTTTTCCAGTTGATTACAGTGGTGCTTGTTGAGCTAGATCTTTTGGGGTCTTCTCCCAACTCTGGACTAATCACAAAGCCTTCTGTTCTTATCATTTCCTAGATCTCTCTCTTGTTAAAAACATATTAGCAAACATCACCAGATAACCACCCTCTAGAGCTGAATACTGCACTGAGGACTTCCACCTCCCCTTAGACACTGTTTTATTTTAGCTGTTCCAATGTCCCTTCCGGAGGGCCAACAGGTCTGGAAATACTAAACGAAGGTTGTTGTTTTTTTTCAGTTTAAATATTTATATTTTTTAAAAAATGAGAAGAAAAAATAAAAAGCAATTGACTCCAGGCAACAACCATGAAAATTGGAAGAAAAGCCTAACAAACAGAAAAAGAGAATAAAAAGATACTTGATTAAAACCTCCTGACTCCTCCAGCAGGTTGCCTTGCCCATCACGGCAAGAAGGGAGGGAGCAGCTGGGACCATCGAGTGCTACTGTGGGAGGGGGTGGGAGGTGCTGAAGCACAAGTCATCTCCATTAAATTGAGCTGGGGAGTGGAGAGAAGCAGAACTGCATCTCTCCACCCTTCTCCCAAAACAGACAATGCACTATGGCAAGTGAGAAGCTGGGGGGGGGGGGGTTTACAACACACACAGGATGGGAGAAGGAAGGGGTTTTGCAGTCCTCCCACCCTGGCTCTCTCTCTCTGGGCAACCAGAATACAGAAGCCACAAAGCTGGGGTTACCATTACTGCCCCCCTCCTCTTGCAATGTCCGATCAAAGCTCTTGCCATTCTCACACACAGCTGATGTCTTGCTTGCATGGAGGCAGAGGAAGGCTGAAATGGCTGAGACAGTAGCGACCGGCAGAGTCCCCCATCCCTCCCCCCTTTTCAAGCTGTACCCATTCGCCTCAGCCCATGAAGGAGTCACCCTCGTCCTCCTCAAAGTGACACTGCTGCAGCACTTTGATGTGATACTCGTAGATCTTCAGCGCAGGTCCCAGACGGATAGACAAGCCTGTCAACACATCGGTGCGCTGCATCAGCAACAGAGACTTCCCATCAATCTCCTGCAGGGGGAGCAACATGGGCAGAAAAGGTTAGGGTAAGAGGGCACAGGAAAGACAACAGCAGAGATCTAGGATGAGCTAACTTGAGAGGAATAAGGAGAGAACATCTACCTTGTGAATGTGGTAGGCCAGGCATTCTAAAAATGTAGATGGTTGCAACTGCTCCTTAAATTTACACACATTTACAGCATCCCATAAAGTCTCACTTAGTAATTATATATAAATTTTATCATCTCTGCATTATTTTCATTAAGAATAAACACGACTCCATTGGCGTAATGCCCAATGACCAAAGGAAACATCAATATAAGGACTCCATCTCTTAGACTTCTGCAAACCTTTAGGCAGAAGGAGTTTCATATTTGGGTAGCCACCAATGCAACTACAGGAGGAGATACAGGAGCATGGCTCTAAAGCAAGAAAGGCTAAATATTGCCCATAGAGAGCGCACTCAGCCCACATGATGCACATCTTGTCCACTCTGGTCATCTGCGGCGGCACTATTCTGCGTGCCCCACCATCTGAGGCAAGACGGTGGCCATATGAGAAAGCACCAGAACTGTGGAACTCCTTCTCCAGGGGGATTCATCTGTTGCCCTCTATTGTTGTCTTCTGCCAGCAGCTGAAGACTTTGTTTTGTCTGGCATACTCCCAGTAACTCTTATTGGTCCTTCTCCCTAGTATTGTTGTCATGCATTTATATATATTTTATATATAGTTTTATATATTTCTAAATACTGTTTTAATGTTCAAATGGTTTGATGTTTTTATGTCTGCCACCTTGGGGATCTTATTGGGATGCAAAGGTGGCATAAAATGTTTTAAGTGAATAAAAATAAATGTGTGTAGAACCCCTGAAGAATAGTACTGTAACTTGAGTTTGACCTCTGCCATGGTTGCTGTGGTATAAGATCATCAGCAGGTGTCTGGGCCAAGGCTTGGTTAAGGAGAAGGGGCTGCAGAACCAAATCCACAGAGAGCTACAGGACACGCCCTCCCCAACAAAATTGTTTCATAACATTGGTCTTTCAAGGTCAGAGTTATATACACTGACAGGCAATGAACTCTCCAGGGTCTGTCTGTGTCTTTCACACCACCTGCTACCTGATCCTTTTAACTGATGATGCTGGGGATTGTATCTGGGGCCTTCTCCATGCAAAACAGATGTTCCATCACTTGAGCCCCTCCCCAAACATGCCAAACAGTGGATGGTCCAAATATCCACCTGCTTGGAGGATTAGGGAGGGGAAAATAGGAAAGACAGAATTCTGAGGGTACACAAACAAACAGCAAAACCACCGTGCTCTGAAAACTTGCTTCCTTTGTTCTAATCAGATGCACCCACACCTTTCTAGGGCTGATCTCAAGGAAAATGGTTCTGCAGATCTACAGCAGAAGCCAGTTCTGCATACACAGTGATGGGCTGGCTGGGGACTGTGACGCTGCACCTTCAAAGCTATGTTGTTGTTTTTTAATGAACATGACTTTGCCCTCTATTGTTGTCTTCTGCCAGCAGCTGAAGACAACAATAGTACCAAATGTGAAATATTAAACTGAATGAAGGTACATGTACCACTTACATTTTTTAAAGCCTGCCTGAAGCTGGGGGGGGGGGGGGGAAGGGGGGGCAGAAGGAAAAAAGGGTGGGGGGGGGGTGGGGGGGGGAGAAGGGGAGACAGAAGGGTAGGGGAAGACTGATGAATGACTCAAGAACTGGAATGCATCTCTCATAAAGTGAAGGAGAAAGGGAAGCCTGGATCATCATATGTGAGAAAAGCTGTGACAACTTCTGTTCTGAGCTACGCTTGCATTTCACTTTTAAAGCATATAGCCCTTGCAGTCCCTGCTCTATGATATCGTAAGGCCTGGGCTGCCAGGACATTATAGATGCTCAGAGTTCAGTTTCAGCATAAATTTCAAATCTTCCTTTTAGTAGGTTCTCACCTGCTCTTGAAAGGCAGATGCTTGCTCAGCAAACCCAGCTTCTGTGAAATAATCCACAACATCACTGACAGTCCATTCCACAGGATCAGAAGGTTTCTCCTTCGCTGAGCTAGGAGGAGGAAGATGAGAAAAGGAGAGAAAGAGTTCAGACCCACGTGAGTTGCTGGGACCACTCGCCCAGTAGGTGAACACGGGAAAAGAACATAAGCACAAGGATCTAGGTGAGAGAATGGACATGCCTTGAGTCAGTCATACAAGCAGTCTGCAGAAAGCAATGGCCAGTCTGCATTAAGCCCCCCGCCCCTGCTCCTAAGAGGGAATATTCCCAACAGGAAGGCCTCAAATGGTATCATCACACAGTTGATTCATGTATTACCCCCTCAATCAGGATATGCAGGTATTTCAGCCACACTCCACCTGCTGTGGAATCCAGAAAAGAGAAGGCTCACTTCCTCTGGCAGACAGTACAAGCAGTGGCAGCTGCAGAAACATGCATGATTCCCCCCCAGCACATGAAACTGCCTTATACTGAATCAGATCCTTGGTCCATCAAAGTTAGTATTGTCTACTCAGACTGGCAGCGGCTCTCCAGGGTCTCAGGCAGAGGTCTTCCACATCACCTACTGCCAGATCCTTTAACTGGAGATGCCGGCGATTGAGTCTTGGACCTTCTGCATGGCAAGCAGATGCTCTACCACTGAGCCACAGCCCAGCTCCCCAATCCTGTCCCATGGTCCCAGAAAACAGATACGATACTACTGCTACCACTATACATGGACCTGTTTTGGGCAGCTGCAACTCCTCACTCAGGCAGTAACTTCTGTTTCCAGACCATGCAACAGGTGAAAGATGCTGCTGCCAGAGTGAGTAAAGCACTGTTACCTTTAAAAACTCAGTGCTGCTACCACCAACAGTCAAAACAGCTCCTTCCTTATTTCTGTACATGCAGGGCAAGGCCAGGTGGTGAGCTAGTCTTGCAAGTTTCTCCAGCTGCCACCTGTACACACTGATGGGAGTCGGGAGTCAAAACAGCAACAACAAAAACAGAGGGGAATTTAAATACAAATCCTCATTAAGAGGATCACTTGTGAACTGCTCACCCTTAAAGGATAGGTTTTGGAACTTGGGCAAGACTTACATGCAGCTGAAGGGTCTCCCATCCGCATGGATGCCAGGTCTCCCAGGAGAGGAGGGTACAGAAGGCTCACTACCTGCAACAGCTGGTGACACTGCAGAAGAGAGAAAAATGGAAAGTGGTCTTGTTCAGGTTTTAACCAGTTCATGGATGAAATACTGCAGAAAAGAGAAAAATGGAAAGTGGTCTTGTTCTGGTTCAGGTTTTAACCAGTTCATGGATGAAACCAGAAAGTGTATGAAGCACAAGTGGAGTGGTTTCTTTTCACCTTTCCAAGGGTGGGGAGGAGAATAAAAAGAAGCAAGCTCTGACTCACAAAAGCTCATGCTGGGATAAATGTTGTTAGGTGCCAGTGGGCTTGTTTTATTTTGCCACAGCAGACTATCAGCAGTACCCCTCTGGGAAGAAGAATACCAGCCAGGTCAGTTTCTGCCAGTGCCTTCTACCCAACACCCCCGTCTCCTTCCATACCATTTGCTATCCTAGTCTTGGGTTCACAGCCAGTTTTCAGTACTAGGTTTGAGAATTACCTCAGGGTAGAAGAAAAACCATTTACTCCAAGAATGGCCCTGTTCTAATGGTTCCACTATCAGGATATATTTTTTTTGCCACATACATTCCTTCCCCCATCTCCTGGAAAGATTAAAGCCTTTCCAATTATCCTCACTAATTCCAGCCCACTCCTACTTCCGGTTGTCTGGCCCATACCTGCTCTGTCAGGCTGCTGATAGGTGCTGCCGTCCTTCTTGCTGCCCCCCAGATGCTGACAGGCACTTTCTCCAGGCCAAGAGGCCTTGGTATGACATCGCTCACTTCCTTCATGGTGGGGATGCTCGGATCCTTTGTTCAAGGAGTGCTCCTCAAGGGAGTGCAGGTCTCTGGGGAGGGCACTGCTGGGTGGGATCTCTTTCCCACCATGCTTGCTGTCCTTACAGTCCCCGTTCACCTGGCCTACCCCTGATCGGCTGTAGTTGCTGGCCTCATACTCTTGGGCCACCTCTGAGCCTTCAGACATGGTGGATACTTCATCCTCTTCTTCTTCCTCCTCTTCTTCCTCCTCCTCACCTTTCGCCTCCTCACCTGCCTTCTACGGACATCAAAAAGACTGAGTGAAAACAAAATCCCTGGGTCTCTTTCATGGTGCCACAAGTTCATCATCCTCCCTTCCCAATTCTTGGCTGGTTAGTTACCTTTAGTGCAAATCTTTCCAACCCCTAAACAGCATCCAAACTTAAACATGGCCCTCCTTGTAAATGATGTTTTAATTTCTCTTTCAACGTAATTTGCTTGGGGCAGATGATGCTCCGGGACCATAGACATTAACCCATGGTGCTACCGTGCCATACTCAATGAAACAAAAGAAAGAACCTCCTGACCCAAGAAGAATATTAAAACAGAGTAAGTGAAAATCACCACCATCTCTCCACCTTATTATGGAAGGCAAATTTGCCTGTATTTATGGAACCCTTAATATTACCATGCTTATGTCCAAAAAGTTTAGCAAAACCTTAAAATAAGAGGGCTTGTTTTTGGCTAGACAGCAATTGTGTGTGTCTTACACTTGGCAACTAGCCGGTCCTTTCCTGGACTGGCAGAGCTGGCCACCCCTCCTGACCAATGCCACATGATTCTGTCCCTTGAGCTCCCCCAGCCTATCACATTTGCACTCATTCACTTATTACTCCCACGACCTCCCGACCTCAGTGGAGGTTACGGAACCCTTTCGGTCAAAGCACAATCTGTCTCTTTGTTCTGTGTTTATATGGAGCCTGGTAAGGCGTCGCGTGTGCTCGCCAGCCCAGGGCCTTACGCGGCGTCAAACTCCTGTTCCTAAAGGGCCACACGCAGGTTTGCCGCGCTCGACAAAGGCCCTCCGCGCGCCGAAGGGGGCTGTGTCAACTCCCTCAGCCGCTAGGATGAGCCGGTCATCCAACTAGCCCTTTCCCAGAATACTTCGGAACTACACGGGAGAATATTGCCCCGTTGAAAAGGCAGGCACCAATCCTAGCGCCCCCTTCGGTGCCAGAATGATTTGATTGGGTGCTGCCCATAACTCTACCTCCCCGACACACGCACACCTGCACAAGCGCCCGCTGACAACCTTTTGGGGGGGTTGGGCGCCGTCCGCCTTCCTCGGGAGCCGCTCCTCCCACAAGTATTGGGCCCCCCCTGCGCGCGCACTCTAAACAGTACGCTTCCGTCCTGGAAACCCTCTCC